GCGATCACATGACCGTCTAGGCTGCAAACTAGGCGATCACATGACCGTCTAGGCTGCAAACTAGGCGATCACATGACCGTCTAGGCTGCAAACTAGGCGATCACATGACCGCCTAGGCTGCAAACCATCCGATCGCGATTCCCAGGCCTGAAAACAAGCGCGTTTGTTTTTGCCAGTCACCGACTGAGCCAATCGTTTGCGCCACTATGGCCGCTTTGCGCCCTCAATTTGGCTATCCCCGACTACCAGATCGACCCCAACCCAACCCGACCCGATCGCGCATGTGGGCACCCCCCCTATTAGGTAACGATTTAACAAAGTGGAGACGATTCTTCATGATAAGCACGTAGCAGTTAACGCTTTTCTAAGTCATTTGAGCACGCGTTTACATAGTGTTGCGGGGGTGAGTAACTGTCACATTATGTGGGTGGTTGGCGGGTGCTCTGGTGTGGTTTGCTCCCTCTTGCCTATCAAACATCGCTTGTCTTTAACCCTCCTTTTTTGTGTTTGTTACTCTCTTGTCACATCTCTAATCTTCGGCCGCTTCTATGACCTAATTGTGCTGCAAATGCCGTAAAACTCTTACTAAGACTGTCATATGATACGCGCGTGAATCGTAGGCTGAATCCCGCTAACTCGACTGATTTAGCATAATATGACGCAAAGATAAAGTTAATCATAACGAAGTAAACTGATTTAGATATCTAGCGTAATATGACGCGAAGATAACATTAAAATCATAACGAAAAAAAACCCTATATTTTCTTCATTACCTCATTCGCAGTCAAGGTGAGGAATGGTACAAACAGCGGACTGTGGTCAGCAAGAAGATGCTCAAGCTAGGCGAGGTGTCCAACTTCAGCACGGAGATGGGTGAGGTCTCGGACGACTTCGTCAGCAGACTCGGAAAAATTCGGGATGTCAATGGGGAAGTTCCCAAACTGGAGAGAGAGCTCTTCAAATGGGCAATGGAGTGTAAGTCAATTGGTGACTTAAATTATTAGGGTTAATTGGGGTATCGGTGTTTGATGTTGTTGTTATTGTTGTTGTTGTTGTTCCTGTTGTTTCTATCGTTGGTGTTGCTGTTTTTGTTGAAGCAAAACTAGCAGTAGTAGCAACAGCGCAATATTTCCAAAATTGGATAGTGTTGTTACTGTCGTTTGTCAGTTCCTTTTCCTTTTCTTTTACCTTTCTTGTGCAGTAATACCCCCCTCCCCGCCCCCAAATGTAAAAGCATCAAACAATGAATCAAAAAGATAAATGACCCAAAACACATATACATGTGTACCTAAACACACAGCAAAAACAAAAAAGACGAACAAAAAACCCAACCACAAAAACCCCCACAAAAAAAACAAAAAAGATTAACAAACAGGCACCCACCCCCACCCCCCTAAGAAAAATACGAAACATAAAAACAAGAAATCAAAAACTCAAAAACAAAAACAAACAGAAAAAAATACCCCAAAGCATTCCCAACAAGAAAAATAGGCCTCAGCACCACTACCACTCAAATAGTAATTGAAGGACTACAGCACAATTTAATGTTATCAACAATAACAACACAGACACAGTGAAGTCCGATTTTATCGACAACTACAGGAGATATGACAGCCAAAAAAGGGAACATGACTATAGCGTAGGAAAAGAAAACACAACATTACCATGTGAAGTCCGATTTTATCGATAACTGCAGGAGATATGACAGCCAAAAATAAAAAAGAAGAAAAAAAGGGAGCACAGCTATAGCACAGGAAAACACAACATTACCATGAATATTTCCCACAACCAACCAGCCCCTTCTTATATATCTCCAGAGAGTATTTGATTATATTTAAGAGTCTCTGATATCTCTTCCATAGCAATTGGTACCTTCATTTTCGAAGAGCGCATCGGTTGCCTTGGAGACCAGCCGTCCAGCATGGCTCAATCGTTCATCGAGAACATGGAGGGCTTTTTCAAGACTCTGCAACCCCTTCTCTACAACCTGCCCTTTTACAAACTTTGGAAGACACAGCTGTGGCAAGAGTTCGAGTCCTACTCTGACAACATTATGGAAATTGGCCATCACATGGTGGAGAAAGTGCGTCTTTATTGGGTTTTTGCTGTGATAATATATGTATAAACTAGATCTATACGGTTTGTCTTTATTTATTCATTCATGAATGGAACATAACATCTTAATAAAATGTATTCAATGATCAGCTTATTATCAAACTTATGACATTGTTCAAGCTGTAGAGAAAGATAGCGAGTTCGCAAGGGAGGGGTGGGAAAGAGAGAAAGAGAGAGAGAGGGAGGGAGAAAGGGAGAGAGAGAGAGGGAGAGAGAGAGG